AGCCTCAATGGATGGCTCCAGAAGTTCTTCGAAATGAACCCTCGGATGAGAAGTATGTCTCTACCAGAAAATATTTAATGCATATGCAGCCATATACATAAAATATTGCTGATTAACTTTTTTTTTTTTTTACTTTAAAATATCTAGGGCGGATATATACAGCTTTGGGGTGATATTGTGGGAACTTGCCACTGAAAAGATCCCTTGGGATAACCTCAACTCTATGCAGGTACTTGTTTTATCTTTCTATGAAATAGCTTACCTAAAAAGTGGGGATAGAAAGAGCATTTGGTCGTGTAGGTTTAATCACCTTTTCGGTACTTCTCCAGGTAATTGGAGCTGTAGGATTCATGAATCAACGACTTGACATTCCTAAGGACGTTGATCCGCAGTGGGCAGCAATAGTTGAGAGCTGCTGGCATAGGTTTGTACCTTGGCACTGAGAATCTTCTTTTTCTTTATTTCTTTTTGTTTGATAAGATGCGACAAGTATTTCTTAGCAATCTGCGGCTGAATGAAGAAAGGATGAAATCTTTATCGCATCTGTTATGTGTGCGCATTACGTTTTAGTTAATAGGACTAAAATGGACATGTTGCTAAATTTCATATGTTAAGGATGGGGCGATCTCGTAGTTTCCTAGTTCAAAGCTCCGCTTATACTGTAGGTTGATCCATCGATGTCTGCATGACATTTTGAATTTATCAACGAAATTGTCATACTGTCGAGATTGAGTACCCAGTCTTCTGCTATTATCTTGAGTTTTAATGTTTCAGGGAATATTATTTAGTTCTATTTGATGTTGTGTGCATTAAACTGATATGAAAGTAAATGATTTTTCCCAAACACAGTGAACCGCCGAACCGTCCAACCTTCCAAGAACTAGTTGAAAGGTTTAGAGATATGCAAAGACAGTCTGCCATTCAATTTCAGGCCTCACGAGCTGGCACAGGAGATGGCAGTCAGAAAGAGTTGTAGACACGTCGTATAACTTGCTCTTTGCTTGGAACATTCACCCACTTCTCTCTCCATGGTAACAAACGCTGGTGGCAGGTTGATGATTATGGCATTGCCATGAATGCTTGCTTGCAATGTTGAAAAAGCTCAACCCAAGGGCTGGTCGATATGATGTTTGCTAATACAAGAAAGTTTGATGCAGAAAGTTGTCATTTGTGAAGCCTGTCAAATCATGCATGTCATACACTGGTAGATTGTATCCAATTGCTGGTGCTATCGATGACCTCTCAAGCATGTCCATCGTGTGCACTGGCAAATTTGTTGTACGAGCAGAACAGATTTCATTCAGAGATGGATGGGATCTTAACAGTTTCAAAGCAATCAAAATCTCTGTATAGAAAACAAGAAACTCTAGGAACTCTACAAGTCCAACTGATACTCTGATTTTGCCGTTGAAGAGATCTGTCTGTAGCTTCGTGATTTTTGATGCAATTAGTATTATTTCAACAAAGTCGATAAATATGTCTCTGACAATATTCCGAGCTAGATGAGCATAATTGCCTAATAAATTTGAGACCTTATCTGGGAGAGTAGCTATAAATGAGGTTCAGTTGAGATGTAGCTTAAAGAAACTAGAATAAGAAGACCATGGCGCATCAAGGAGGAGCATACTCATACTGCATATATCACAGATTACGAATTTTACAGAACCACAAACAATCAATATCTGCCCGGGTTTGGGGATGGAGATGAAGCAAGGGAATTTTAGAACACAAATTACTCTAGTTCACTCTCACTTTCGTCATGCAAGGGAAGCTGTTTGGCACATAGACGGACAACTTCTGTTCATCTGCAGTTAGAGGAGAAATGCCAGTTGAATGATGACCCAAAGTGCAGGTTGATGACCCACGTGATTGGAATGCCTTTCACCGGGTTTCTCATTACATGAAAAAGAGAAATCAACAAAAATAAACAAGTACTAATTGACAAAAAACAAAAATCTCCGAGCATAAATTTCACCGATGTTGCGGCACAATTTTACAAGCAGGAAATGCACAGCTAAGCATGGACACTTGAGAGATTGAAAGCATGCTCAAGTCTCGTAATGGCCCCAAACACAAGTAAGAAAAGCCAGCAGGATCCAGTAAACTCGTCTTTGAAGCTCGAATGGCAGCATTTAGTTAAGTAGAGCTCGAATGGCAGCAACAGGATCGCCTTTGTGCTCACGCAAAGTCCTTTCAGCCACCTTCTTGTCCAGCTGTCGGCAAGTTTTAAAGATATATTGTTAAAAAAAAAGGAGCACAAAGCAAAGGCTGCAAATTCACAAACGAAAACAAAAAATGATATGGACCTCTAGTTCATTGGCAATTATATCAACATGTTCTGGATTAATCTTGACTGCAGCTAATTCCTTTTCCCTGCAGAAGGAACAAAACGTTGAGAAGCTACATATAACCCCACAGTACAAACGCATTTTAAACACTGTTAACTGGCTTAACTTCAATTACTGCTGACCACTAGAAAATAATCATTAAAAGAACAGCATTTGCATCTGTGATGAGAAATTTTGTAAAGCAGATCTTTAAGCTGAACCACGTGATCACGTGGAAAAAAAAAGTTGGCCAAAAAAAATCTAAACAAAAAGGAAAAATGTTGAAGAAGGCCGCAAAAGATAATTCAAGTTTTGAATACTTGAGCTATGGTAAAATGAAGCATGATACTATGCCCTCCAATGGCATGAAAAACCAAATCTGTAGTCCTGTAGCTAATTGCAGACAAACGTTCTGAGAACAACACAGCAGGGTAGGTTGAGAATAGAAAAACCAACAAAATTATTAAGCTTACCTTATAAGATATCTAAATAGACACAAAATAGCTTGTCAAATTTGATAATTAGACAGAATCCATGGCCATATCACATGAATATAAAATCAAACATGCTGCGGATTCATGTTGTAAGTCACTATAATAACTACGTAAGAATTCATCACGAGGCCAAGAAAAAGCCAAGGAGCCACATTACTTCATTTTCTCTACACCCCACAGGCAATTCAAGCTTCCCCAAAAACTATTTCTTTGTTTATTTACTTTATATGATGCAGTAGAATAGTATGAATCTCAATCCAGCATGAAATACCAATTAATTATGTCTATACATGTTTTACAACCACAGAGCCACGTTTACAAATTACATCTTCCATTCCATCGAAAGAAAAAAATTATTAAAATAATAATAATAACAGAGAAGCATTTGTATTCTATTTCCAGCTCCACTAACGAAATAACGTACAAAAATCAAAAAGGAAAAAGAAATAGCTCCAACCTCAATCTCATGGCTTGAAGATCAGCTTCTTTGGATGCAGCAATTGACGCCATAGCCTGAACTAATTCAAAGTAAACCAGAGGTTAAGCTAACTAAAACAACAGAAATTGGAGAATGAAGACAAATGAATAGAATGCGGGTATTGTGGGTTGGCACCTCCTGAACCCGGGTTGAGTCGAGTTGACGATCCTCGACTCGGTCAGTGAGCTTGTCGAGGGCTTTGCTCTGCTGCTGCAGGTCCTTGGAGTCCACCACCATCTCTATTCCTTCATCTCCTCCCTCCGCTTCCATTTTCTCCTCTGCCCTAATCCCTTTCCCTCTTCTCCAATTTCTTTCACGATAATTTCCAAAGCTCTCTCGCGGATGGAGAATTCGTTAATCAAGCAAGGCCTACATGTCTTTTGAATGCCCTGTTTTGTTGGGGATTTTGCACGGTAAGATGTTGGAATTGTTGGGCCAACTGCTGGGCCTTCTCACTCACATAATTTTGGGCCTTTTGACGTTTTTTTTTTTTTTTTTTTTTAACTTTTATTTTCTATTTTATTATTGTTATGATTGTTGTTAGTTGTTATTTTTATTACGAACATCTAGACTGATCCTGAATTGAACTTGACTGGATAAAACCTCGTTGGAATTCATATTGTGATAGTAATAATAATTGAGCTGAGTATTCTGAATTATGCAAACTGGTTAGGGATTTACAGTCTACGAGTTATAAACTATAGTTTTTTTAAAAAAATAAAAGGGTTCGTGTATGACTATTTTATATTACAATTTTTATTTTTCTTTCACCGTTCAAAAAATTTGACATTGTATACACGGATGAAAGAACCCAAACTTTTTTACATTACAAACAGATCTATCAAAGACTACTACTAAAATTTCTACTACTATACAACTTCAGTATGAAAGAATGGATGAATTACTACATGCTACTCCAATCAAAGCTGGAGCAAAGTAAGTTGTTTTATAATTTTCTTTACACTAATAGGTTTAAATCATGTTATATAACATAAATTTACATTTAAAATTCAAAATATGCACATGTGACATATAATCATAACTGCTAGTATAAAAAAAATTACTACACTGTCAGTGTATAATTTTTTTTTTTTTTTTAAATAGTGTATAAAAAGTTAATCCTTTATCAAATAGGTAAGAAAGTAGGTGTTGTCAAACATGATCTTAGGTCCAAGTCCTTGGAGTTGTAAGCACATTTGAGCAGAGGATAGGCCCCAAGCAACCCTTCATACCTGTATATATTCCTTCACGACTTGATATATAGATGAATACTTGTTTCGTCATCTTTCTGTGTTTTGTGGATCTAGAAATGTGCTGTGATGGAATATCAAACTAATTGTTTCATCTGCACATGGAACCGGATAGAGCATTGCATTTGCCCACCACACACTACTCTTTTTAAGTAATTGTTGCAATATACTCGGGGATAAATTTTGTACTGATTGGTAATAGTAACAATTTTGGCATTATTATGAGAGATAAATTAAACCTGATTCATAATCCAGTTTTATTTTATGGTGTTTATAGTTATTATGTGCAGCAGTAACTCGATTTCTGAGTGGAGTTTTACTTGCATTAGGGTACGTAGTTGGAGTTAGTTTTCAAGTACAATGAGTTAAATCATCAGAATGTGTCAAACACAATGATCAAGATCTGTTCTCCCCAGATTTCTTTCAATTGCTTCATCAAAATAATCTAATATCCAACCAAGACCAACTTTGGAAAGGATCTTAACATCGACCAGCATCAATCCTTAGTAAATGGTACTTGGCTACATTACATTTATTTGTGCAAGTTTATTAAAAAAAAAAAAAAAAATTGGACAAAGTATGCCCCTCTATTTTACTGACTCTTAAGCCTCCAAAGGGCTAGTACTAGGAGCAAGTCCTAACTAACTACCACCAAAAGATTTACAATTGTGAGGTACTCTTACTTGGAGCAGGTCTCATCCTGTACAGTATTCACATTGGCAGTTCATAGCCATGCTGGGAGCCATTGCTTGCCATTGATGTAATCAATAGAGAGGAAAGGAGCTACTTCTTTGTCATCGAGCTGTTTTGACCACTTAGCTCGATCTTTTGAAGCAGACCCTGGACCATGACATTTATATTCTGCAAGATATACACGGCTGTTGCAGTTGTTTGCAACATTCCTTGGATCAGCTAGGAGCACAATAACAATGAAATTGCTCAAGAATACCTAGTATCCAGTGATCCAAGTATGATGATTGCAAGCCATTCTGGTAAATGTATCCTAAAAACTCTACTTAACTATGTTTTTTTTTTTTTTTTTTCCACAGCGTTATCGAATAGGGTATTAACTGAAGAACCTTTAGAGTAGCAGTTCCATAACATGACTTGAAGCCAATTATGTTTTGGTTTTCTGAACATTTCATGCAGTTGCATCATTCGTCAATCACGTCACACTCATCGTGGCATTCTTAAGTCATAATATTTTCTCATTACTGCTTAAGCTTAATTAGTAATGAATATATATAGGAGGGAACTAGTCCTTACTCTGGACTGCCAGCATAGCTCCAATTCGTCCATCCTTGAGGCACAATGGTCCTGGAGAAGTAGGTGTTTGCAAAAACAACTCGAGAAAAGGGTGCATTAGCTCTACCCAAGTACAAACTACCAACCCCATAGATCTTCCCTCCAACGAACACAAAACCACTGTTTTCACCAGCACTTCGCCTGCTATGAGCTGTGATGGATCCATGGATCTCAGCCCTCTTGTCTCCAATCACGAATATCTCGCAGTTCTGCGTTACAACGTTACATCACATCACAGGTCTTTACCCATTTCGTTTAATTTCTCGCAATATTGCACATATGTAAAGAATCATGTATGAAGCTGGCATTTATGATATCTACTTACATGGAACATAGACTGACCGCGTCCAAATATGAAATCGATGGAACCCTGAATATAGCAATTGTCGTAGTAATGCCTGCCTTTGTAATCAAAGAGAGTGTTGTGTGAGCTAAAGAATGCACAGTGGTAGAATGCAACTTTATCTGCCCCAGCAAATGCTGCAACTGACTGGTTACGTGAGGTATAAGCAATCCCAGTTGGAGCTTCATTCTACCAAAACAAATCAATTACTACACATTTAATCAAAGACAAAGACAAATTAAGGGAGATGCTCTAAATTTAAGCAATTTTAACCGAAGATCTCTTTGCCGTTACATAGTTTCTAGAAATGAAATGAATTTAAGTCCAACATTACGATACAGAAATTGAACCTTGAAGCTAATACCGAAGGCAACGAAGTTGTGTGATTCAACAAGGAAAGCAGCGGACTGGTAGTTGTCGACAGAGCTCTGAGACCAAACGATGGATGTCTTACCCTTTCCATTGCCTCTCAAGAATATATAGGGTTTATTACGAGGTATGTGCACCTTCTCTCTGCAATTAATTGTTACAAGTTCAGAAAATATTATCACATCAATATCTTGAAAGCTTGCCAAGTTTCTGGGTTGGGTTGTACTTTCATATGATTCTTTAGCTGCTCTATATTTGAACACGTACATGGGGCAATTGACAGAAAACAAAGCTTTGGCAAAATGGCAAACTTCAAATTGAAAGCAAGTATGAATATGACTTTGAGCCATCATTCCACCGATGGATAGCACACGGTCCTTCGATTTTACAGTACAAAGCAATTCTTCACACCATTAAGTGATCATGTACCAAATGTATTACCAGGACAAACCCAAAGAAAAATTGATAATAATAATAATTGATACTTTAGATCCCAGTATTATGCCTAGCTAATTGGTTGTACAAAAGTACACTACTTACTATCTAATAGTCATCTACAGTTTTGTTAAATTAAGAATGGCATCAACTTTTGTTGCAACCGCTAAATCAAATGATTATAATCGCCAAACTCATTTCATCTCGATTAAAAAGTGAATTTGATCGTCATCCCGTCGTTCTTGCTTTTTGCCAAAAAAAAAATGAAAAGCAGATACATACTTAAATATCGTATTTTGACTTTTCCTGGCAATTTTTGGTATAAGATCACCTGTAAACACCTTTCCTCACATGAATAATGGTCCAATTGGAATTGCCTTCTGGAACAGCATCAATTGCTGCTTGAATGGTCCTGAAGTCTCCTTGTCCACTAATATCAACTATTGTTGTTCGGCTGGTACCAATCTTCTGGGTCAGGAGATTGGAATCGATCACGTTTCTGTCCAAGGAGCAATGTACAGCATCTGCAATGAGGACAGACATGACTAGAAAATGTACATAGGCAACATTTTTTGCCCAGGGAAGTGTTGAAGAAGATGAAGGCATTTTTAGAAGTGGAACTAACTACCCCAGTTCTCTTGAATCTTAAAGTTGGCTTTGATTGAATTGACATTCACTATAGGAGTTGCTCCTAAAGATATTTTGCATGCACGTACTGATTTGGCGCATCGAAGTTGGTATGAGGAAGGAGCTTCCTCTAGATTGGAGGGCGTCCAACAATAGCTATGTGGCTGTTATGCAATCCGTCCTTGATTTCTGTTGGTAGGTAATGGGTAGGACTCACAACAACACATTTATATTTCTGGTAATTAATTTTGGCTGAGGCTCAAGTGAGAAAGAATGCAATTTCACCTTTGTACCTAGTGTGTGTGGTATATTGATCTTCTCTTCCGCTTCAGATAGACTAATGCGGTTTCCATTTACTAATTTAAAGCATGTCAATTAGGAAAAATTGCATCAGTCGTATCTGACCTATAAATTGAGCGATTTTAATCTCTATCATATAAAATATGCTCATTTTTTTGTCATCCAACCAACATCTTTACAAGCTATTTTTGATCGAAATGAGTTATGAATCCATCACGTACTCCATATTTATTTAAAGAGTGATGAACACATCGTGTGCTCCATATATAGTTTCTATTCTATTCAGGCTGACACACATTTTGATTGATGCTCACTCCGCCAAACGGACCGTTCCTCACTGGTCTCGGCCATAAATAGGCCACTAGCCCCAGAATTCCTTATGTTTGGGCCAAGCTGGAGTAACGCTTTAATAAAAATGATGCACGGAGAAGTTGAGTGGATTTTGAGGTCACAGCACACGCTCGGGAGGGGATCACTTTATGCCTCCATGGCATCTTTTGATCAATTCTTAAATGGCTCTCTCAGAAATACATAGCTGTGTAATTTGATCAATTCCTTCAAGTTTAACAATTTCTGAGAGGGGTATTTAATGCACCCCTCCAAATTTGATGCGTAACTTATTAGCTTGCCAACATAAGTTAATTTTTTATCTCAAACTTCAACGAGGTGTAGCTAGTAAAATCGCAATAGAAATGGGAAATGTAGAAATGGTGCAGAAAAGCATCACAGTTCCTTTTGTGCACTAGGAAATAAAAAAAATAGAGAATCAGTTTCGGCCTTATCATAAAGAAAAACAGAAGAAAGGAAAATAGCATATGAAGCATATATGAAGCATTACTAATCTTCAACAGATGTTGTTGCATTCTTTTACCAGTAACTATTCACGCCCATGCCTGAAGTTTTCTCTCTGCTTGTCCAGCACCACACCACACCAAGCCAGAAAAGCGGTACTCCCCCATTGCATTGCTGTGAATTGTGCGATAGTATTAAATATTAAATCCTTTGATATCCTTCCTGGATTGATCATGAAGGAAACAAAGATGTGGGCTAGTAAATGGGGTGTTACCATCTCAAATGACTGCATTGAATTCCACGTAGTTGTGCCATCCCGTTGGTTTGAATGTTTGGAGGGCCGTTAGGCTTGTTGGGAGTTGGAAACAAAAGTTTAATTTATCATTATTGTGTTTCTGAGAAATACAGATTAGGATTTGGCAGCAAAAGATTTCCATGAATTCGGCTATTCGTCGCCGTGGTGCCCAGTTATTGGTGAAGCTTTAAATGACAATAGGCTTCAACAATCATATGGTAGCTCCCATGGTTGGTAGTGCTGCCGTTGCTGGACATTCAATGACTTCGTTTCTCTACCTACTCGGTTGCTCGCTTGAGCACTCGGTTTTATAAGGAAAAGTATGTTCTTGAACAAAATCTGCTAATCTGGTAGCTTCATCTTGATACTCATTTTCGTTTCACACTTTGGATAGTGGATAAACTACTTGCAAAAATCATTGTCTTGGGAAAGGAAAATTTGATCAACCAATTGCACAAATTATCTTGGGTCGTTGGATTTCTCTTTGATACATTGTGTGTTCAAGATACAATATTTGGTTAGAAAACTTAGCCATTGCAATTCTTTCTGCCTTATACATGTATCTGTTTTCTTGTTTCTCGAATCCCAGTTGAGGTGTTTATTTAAGTTTAAGCAGCAGCTTAGCAGTTGGAAGTTAGTGCAGCAGAAAAGAGGAAATTTTAGATCAAATCTTCATACAACTACAGCAGAATAAACTTCAGTGGTTTTCCTGCTAATGGATTATCTATCGAACAGGAAACTTGCAGCAGGGATTTTGTTTCAACTCTTAGCCCTTTTTGTTCGGTTGAAGACCTGCTTCTGTGAAGTTGCTCCTCCTGCTAATTTTGTTTTTGGAGATTCCTTGGTTGATGTTGGCAACAACAACTACATCGTGTCTCTCTCAAAAGCTAATTTTGTACCAAATGGCATCGACTTTGGTAAGCCAACAGGAAGATACACAAATGGAAGAACAATAGTTGATATTTTAGGTGAGGTGTCCGTCCTGAACTATTTCAGCTTGCTGTCTGCCAACTTAATTGGTAGCCACATTCAAATTGTCTGGTTAATACTTGATGATGGCATTGGAAGCTGATTTAGGTGTCATCTTCTTTTCTTTTCAATGGCCAAAAGTACTACCAGCTGACCATTTCATGTGCATACTTTTGGTATTACCAGGAGAGGAAGTAGGAATCAAAGGCTTTACTCCTCCATTCTTGGCGCCGACAACAGCTGGTCCGGTGGTTCTGCAGGGTGTTAATTATGCTTCTGGTGGAGGGGGGATTCTGAATCACACTGGAAAGATTTTTGTGAGATTCTTACTATCCACCTGCACATGTTCTAATGCACATTTGGATGAAACAAACATGTAGCGAAAACACACATGAATTTCTTGACAGAACATAGCCTGAAACTTGAGCATTCCAATCCACCTATTTTAATTGATTACCAACCTGCATTGCTACGACAGGTCGGTAGAATCAACTTTGATGCTCAACTAGACAACTTTGCCAATACCAATGAGTACATAATTTCAACAATAGGTGCTCCCATGACAATGAAATTGCTTCAAAATGCACTCTTCTCAGTAACAATGGGATCAAATGACTTCATTAACAACTATTTGGTGCCCGTTGTCTCAAAAGTTCAGCAAAATTTGGTCTCTCCAGAATCCTTCGTAGCAGATTTGATTACAAGATATAGAACTCAACTTACGGTAGGACTCCCATTTGCAAATAGCAATTCCATTTGTTTATCGTACTGTAGATGCTAGGCATACAATACATTTTTCTGATGTGATTAAAACATTCCCAGAGGCTCTACAACATGGGTGCTAGAAAGATCGTTGTAGTTAATGTAGGACCTATTGGATGCATCCCATATCAGAGGGCAATAAATCCATCTTCTGGAAAAGGCTGTGTTGCCTTCCCTAATCAGCTAGCTCAGTTGTTCAATAGCCAGTTGAGGGATCTAGTAACAGAGCTTCGTTCTAATCTGAAGGGATCAAAATTCATTTATGCAGATGCCTATCGCATTGTAGATGATTTGATCCAGAACTACATCTCCTATGGTAAGCAACATCTTATCATTCAGAATTACAGCAGCAAATGCTGTCATGGAACACCACCTTAATTGTGCTTAACATTGAACTGATCAGCAGTGTATCCTTTCTTTGCTTTCCATAAACAGGGTTCGGGAATGCAGATTCAGCTTGCTGCTACGTTGCTGGGAGATTTGGGGGCCTAATTCCATGCGGTCCAACATCTAAAATTTGTGCAGACAGATCGAAGTATGTGTTCTGGGATCCATATCATCCAACAGATGCTGCTAACAACTTTATAGCTAAGCGTCTGCTTGACGGTGGCTCTGGGGACGTTTGGCCGATGAACATTAGACAATTAATTTCATCAAATTGACTACATCTTCAGAATGTTGAATTGCATTCGAAGGATGATGCATTTTTTTTCCTTTTCTTTTTCGTTCTTTCGTACTTCTTTTTTTTTTTTTTTCCTTTTTTGTTGGGTGAATCAATTCGCTCATTATCAAAGAGTTATGGAGTTCTTTGTGCATTCAAACGATAATCAAAATTCTTATGCATTGAAATGAAAGACTAATTATCTGTTACTTTTACCGCTCAAAAGCATCAGCTTACTAGTTAGTATGAATATTTAGCCAGAAGAAATCACAAGATTCTAATTCGTTTTTGAAGCAGAAATTTGTAATTATATTCTTGTGCCTAAACGAATCAAAGGAAGATGATGGCTATATCTCAATTCAGAGGACCACGGCATTCACTGTAGTTCGTGTACTACAGTCTACAATACTTGTAGTAACTAATTTGTCAAGAAACGTGTTTTGTCTTGCGCTTAATATTAATGAATGTGTTTGGACAAGAGATTATTTGCCCAAATATATTTGCTTACATCATCGTTACAATTTTCAATATATCTTTTTATCTTTTCAGTTACCTTTTTATCTCACATACATCACATCACAAAAAGTGTTACAGTAAAAATATCTCAAATAATTTACAATCCAGAAGAACCCGAGATGATCTTATATTCGCTTAATATATTCTCATTTCTATCATCAACAATGGACGTGTTTGGATTACAAGACTTTAAAAAAAAAACATTCAAATTCTGTATTTTGCTTACATTATACACGTAATTTTCATTCACATTTTTATATCATATACATCACATCACAAAAATATTGCAATAATTATTTCAAATAATCTCCCATCCAAATAAACTCATTAATTGTCACCTTTTAGTTCAGATGCATAAGAATTGAACGGCCAGGTAGAGCTGTTAAGTCAATCGAGTAGTTCGAAAGCTCGTTAGAGCTCGACTCGTTAAGGCTCGAGCTCGGCTCGTTAATTTTGGTTAACGAGTCGAGCTCGAGCTCGAAACATACTCGTTTAGTTAACGAGTCGAGTAAGCTCGGCTCGTTTGATACTCGAGTAGCTCGTTAGAACTCGTTAATGAAGGACATATTTGTCATTTTAGAAATCAAAATTATAAAAATTAAAAATTATAGGTTTTTATTAAAGTTAATTTGCACGAACTCGAGCTCGAGCTCGTGAAGCTCGACTCGTTTGTGATAAACGAGTCAAGTTCGAGCCACATGTACATTTAATGAGTCGAGTTCGAACACATTTTAAAACTCGTTTTCCTAACGAGCTCGAGTCGAGCTCGGCAGCCAAATACTCGACTCGATTAACAGCTCTACGGCCAGGTATGACGTTTGTTAGCTGTTTTGTTTTAGGATAACTACAACACCGATTCCTAGGTACTCCACGCTGTCAACTAATTTTATTATTATTATTATTTTTTGAAGTGTAACGTCAGCTAATTCAATTCAACAGCCGATAGGGCACGCATTTCGACCCTCCAACAATCTAATCTAATTATTATACGACTATACATATTAGTAGTCCATTAGTTTTCACCTGCGCCCTTCGGAAAAGTGAAAATAATGGCGGGCACATCTTCGGAAAACCTGATAGTCGTGAACCGAGGACAAGGGGGCGTCGCTGTCGTCACAATTAACCGTCCCAAGAGTCTGAACTCGCTCACCAGACAGATGATGAAGGATCTTGCCAAAGCATTCAAGTCGCTAGACGCGGAAGAGTCAGTTCGGGTTATTATTCTTTGCGGGTCAGGTCGATCATTCTGTTCTGGGGTGGACTTGACTGCTGCGGAAGATGTCTTTAAGGGGGACGTCAAGGATATGGAATCCGATCCAGTTGCTCAAATGGAGCGTTGCAAGAAGCCCATTATAGGAGCCATTAAAGGGTTTGCTGTCACAGCTGGGTTTGAGATTGCTTTGGCTTGTGATATTTTGGTTGCTTCTACAGATGCTAAATTTATGGATACCCATGCCAGGTTCGTTTCCTTTTAATTTTTTTCCCCAATTCTTATTCTTTTATGTGCATTTTCTTTCGATGCTGCTGTCAATTGCTTCGATTAATAATCCCGATTCAGTGTAATTTTTCAGTATTTTATTGTAGAACGCACATATCTGTGCTAAAATATCGGTTTCCTTTTTCCTTTTTTCCCCCCTCCTTAAAGGGTACGCTGGGAGGGAAAATTCGGGGAGAATTATGGGGACAATCGGAACCGAATGTAGCTGAGTGATATTCACAGCTAAAACCTGGTTAAGTTATATTAGTACTTCTGTAAATTGGAGGATCAATGGAGAGTGATTAATGTGTTGAAAGTCTGACTTGACTTGAGAGATCAAAGCATCACCAATTGATGGAGATGTTGTAAGGCCAGCTTAAGCAAGTTGGTAAATGTTGAAGGGACACAAGTAGAAAGATTTAAACTTTCTAACACTCTACCCGAAGAAGGAAGAAAGTAAAAAGGAAGCTTGACAGTGTCATGAATCAGTTTTATGCTGAGTAGAACTAACTGGTTTGGCCGAGATTGAGACTCCGCTGAATCACTCTTGATCTTGACCCACCACCTAATTTGGATCGTCTGTTCTGCTTGGTTCATACAATTGGTTTTCTGTTTTTGTCTGAGAGATAACAATGTGACTACATAGGACGTGTAATATGAAGACTTAGGGGTCAAAGTTTCTTGTTGCAACTTTTTACATATGATGTTTTCCCGTTCATTCTCTTCAACTTCTCTAAGTTAAAGCTGGATGTGTTTACGTTCATGACTATCCTGCGCATTCTGATTAATATTGTTGGATCAACTCTCTTACAGATTTGGAATATTTCCTTCATGGGGTCTATCTCAGAAGCTTGCCCGTGTCATAGGGCCCAATAGAGCCCGTGAAGTATCTCTGACTGCAACCCCTGTAACTGCAGAAGAAGCTGAGAAATGGGGTTTGGTAAATCATGTAGTTGAAGGAAGTGAACTCTTGAAGAAAGCTCGACAAATAGCAGAAGCCATTATTAAGAACAATCAAGACCTTGTCTTGAGGTACAAGAGTGTTATAAATGATGGATTCAAACAAGACTTGGCTCATGCCCTTGTGCTAGAAAAGGTGGTTATCTGTCCTACTTTTTCTACTTCATCTTCTTCTGGATTGCCTATGCACATGCACTTACCTGGAGATACTCGCATGTAACCCAGAAATGTATCATAAGAAGGATAAGGGGATTGCTTAATGGTTTACTGTGAAGTGGCTAATAAATTCCCAAAACTTTAAGTGCTTAAGTTTGTTGATCAATCACACTGATACTGAAGGAGTTTATAACCCCAGAAATTATTTGTAGTTTAATTCAATACACCCGTAAGAGTTCATTACCCATTTTGTTTTTCTTAGAATTTATTTGGTTAGGCCACTATGTCACCGTACTAGCTCATTCTTTTATATGGCCAATTCCAGTGGCTTAATTCTGAGTGCTAGTGTTGTCAAAGCTCACCAAACAACATGGCTAAAATGGTCTTGTTTAGGGCTGTTGAGTTTGTTATTGTATAAAAAAGTCAAGTGTTAAACTAAGTTGTATAGGCATATCATTTGCTGTCAACATACTGTGGTATTTCTGTGTGTTGCGCTTCATCAATCTATTTCTTAAATTATCATGCTTTGTAGGGGTAGACAATATTAATTGGAATACCAAACCTCTTTCCCCGCTTTGCACAAGCTAGAAGAGGATACCTCTATGTTTGAAATGGTTTGGGCTGGTCTTTCAAAGCAGTTAGCTAATAGGATGCTGCAGCCTTCAAATAATGCTTAATCATAACCAACTTAATCATTTGATTGCCTCCTCTTTATGTTTTTAGTACTTAGCAGGGTCCAGACAGTTGATTGTGTGCTTAACCTTGAAAACGGTCCTAAGTATTTAACTAAAAAGAATCTAGATGGGAAAGTTAGGAATTCATAAATTTAAGTTACTCAGCTGACTCGTAACGCTGCAGCTATTTGGAGATCATGGGCTAACCGCAGAGGCTCATAATGAAAATGAGTAACATTATAGAGAAGAGTCTTTGTGGAATTCAGATCTTCTAGCAACAAATCACTTATCTTTGAGAAGTCTGCATTTTTTTTTTTTTTGGAACAGGACTTCATGTATGCAGTTGATTGGCATATTTCCAGCGGCAAATTGATCGGTGGCACAGTTGACAAACTTTTGTATTCTGAAAATGATCTAATATTTTGCTCTGTTACATGCTTTGCTCAGGAGAGGGCGCATGACTATTACAATGGAATGACTAAGGAGCAGTTCAAGAAAATGCAAGAATTCATTGCAGGTCGGAGTGCAAAGAAATCTCCATCCAAGTTGTAGATATGTTAACAAGTCACTTGATTGTCTGTTGTAAAATAAGTTGTTTTAAGTCCCTTAATACGTCCTCAAAGGATAGATAGATGTTGGCTTGGAAAATGAAATCTTGATTCTACAATTAAGTAAAACAGGGAAACGGGAATGCATTTATAGAGGCTTTGATGTTCTGAGAATCTAGCTTTTAACCGCGCATGTTTACTTGGCCAAATGGTCCGAACTTTCTTCCCTTTTTTTGTACTTTTTTTCCACCAATGTAATAATAGGTATTGAATTCGACTTGAACTTTGTAATGGTTTTTCATCTGACAATAAAGGAATTAAAGCACAGAGAGCCCCACCAGCAACGTATGTCTCACCCCTATGGGCTGCGGCCTTTTATAAGATGCCATCACAGAATTGGCAACCTCTTAAGAGTACCTTTTAGTTTCAATCATCAATTATTTCGGTAGGTTGGGACTTAAGGGAGTGAGTGCAGGGTTTGTTTAAAATCTCGTTTGAGCCTTGCTCCAAGAATAGTCAAGCCAAGGCCATAAACAATTGAATGCTCGTTTAAAGAACCGAAAAAAAAAAAGGAAAAATGAACAAAATAGTGGGTAGTTCTATGGGTATCAATTCATTGTTGGATCAATTAAAAAGAGACATCAACCACTAGATGATTTTAGAAGCTCAAATTATTGAATAATGGGATAAAAATTTATTAAATTAAAATCATCAGATACCCAAAAAAGAATGGTAGTATTTCTACACAGGACTCAATTAGTTCAGCTCCCTATTTCATTCTATTTTTAAAGGCTTCCAGCATGATGGGTTCCTTAGCTGGATCTATTTTCATGTCCAAACTTGTGTAAAATTAAGTTGTCGTGGACTCAAACTGGGAAGAGATGGGAATGGAGTTGTAGTGTTTGAGCCCATCCTATTCCCCACCCTCAATGTCCTGCTTGGCCCAAATGGATGGAGAATAAAAGAAGACGAAAAAAAAAAGAAAAAAAAATTGTTTGGCAGCAAATTTAGCAAATAACCAAATACGGGAAGGCAGAATGCTTGTTAAGAAAGAAAACACCAACTTCCAATTTCATGAATGCTTGCGTGAAATTGACCATCCCGTTTGCCTTTTCAGTTATGCGGTCCTAGTTTTCTTTGGATCCCCACAATTCTTAGTAAGCAAACAGGCCCTAGTTTTGCCACCTTCAACAATTTTTTATCTATTGGACTGCTCGTCTTCACACAATGTGAGAGGGTTCCCTGTTGCAAGCCGACTAGGTAATCTTTTCTAAGTTTTGGCAGCAATAAGGGTTGTGAAAAGATGGCCCCAGGTGAACCCTTTTACTTTTTTCTTCCCTTTTTCTTCGTGCAGATGATCATGCCAGTTGTAATGGGGTACAGAAAATAAAGGAAACTTTTTTCCTCTTTCTGATCTTAAAGTTTAAATTTTGTTTTATTTTTGCTTTAAAGACAAGAACCTTTTGTGTCTTGATAAAACTTCAAGTATGCTTGGTTTGTCATTTAAGTTCAATATGTGGATAATTTGGAGAAGTGGCCCAAGGTAAACCCTTTCCACTTTGCTCGATGATACTGCATTGATTTTGTTCTTTCCGGTGTTCTACACTAAAAAAATTTTCTTCGCTGTGCAAATAATCATGCAAATTTTCATGGGCTACCAAAAACAAACTGGAAAAGGAAAAGCATTAGTGGAAAATTTGTTACTGTAAATTATTCGACTTTATTGAATGATATGACGTGGGCTTGTCTTGGAAGCTTGATACAGTGCACAAAAGTTTTTTTCTTTTTTTTTCCTTTTGTTTTGTGTGTTTAAACAACTGAATATCGCTGTTGGATTTTAATTTGAGCTGTGTGTGGGTAATTAGAAAAGCAGGGCGGTGAGTAAATTGCTAAATTATCCGTGGGCGTACGTACAGTTTAATTGATTGAGATGCTCATGTTTTAGTGGAGCTCTTACTTTGGTGGTGTTCAAATTATGTTTCTCATTCATTTTGTATAAGAGATCTTCTAGGAGGATTTTTAATGGCTTGATCTGTTACTGCAGGAACTCTGTTTAGTAGATGATTTACCTTGGTTTTGTTTCTCTATATACCTTGCCTAATTCTTGGGGGCAAATATTTACTATTTAACTTAGGAGATATTGATGGTTTAATGCATTCAATGCTATTTCAGTTAGTCATATGACGCACATCAACTTGTTAAAAAGGATCGAGGGATGAACCAGGACTCATCAGTACTCTTTTTGATTTTCTTCTCTCTGCATATTACAATCTTCATCAGTACTTGCTATTTATTTCTCTGTTGATCAGGTGACAACAAAGTTGCTGCCAACACCATCGAATTTCCACAGTTCGACATTTTATCAGGTGATTCAGCTCATTCAGATCACTACTTCATTCATTCTAACAAGTCCAAAAAGGCTCAAGGCTGCTTCAACGATTCAACAAGTGCCGTGTCGAAGAAAATTGCAAAAGAGTGGAAAATCCTTGAGAAAGATCTTCCTGACTCCATTTATGTACGCGTTTATGAGCAGAGAATTGACTTGCTTCGAGCTGTGATCATTGGTGCTGCTGGAACTCCTTATCATGATGGTCTTTTCTTCCTTGACATTGTTCTGCCTTCTGATTATCCAAACCAACCTCCTAAAGTGTATTATCATGCCCATGGCCTGCGTTTAAATCCCAATCTATATTCAAACGGGACGGTTTGCTTGAGTTTGATCCATACTTGGACCGGTCGAGGTGTGGAGTTATGGACTCCTGCTAAGTCCACCATTCTTCAGCTGTTGGTCTCCATTCAAGGACTTGTGCTTAACAGTAAGCCATACTTCAATGAGCCTGGACGTGAAGTTGGACTGTACAGCAAGGCTGAACGTTGGACCAAAAAATCAACGGCTTATAATGAAGAGGTTTTTATCTTGTCTTGTAAGACAATGCTGTACAATATGCGAAAGGCACCAAAGGGTTTTGAGAGTTTTGTTGTGGAACATTTTCGAGCACGTGGAGATTTTATATTGGCGGCTATCAGGGCTTATATAAATGGTGATGCTACCGTTGGCCAATATCAAGAGTGCGTATCAGCTTCATTGTCCTCTGTTCCAGTGTCAAGCAAATTTAAGGCAAATTTGGAGAAGATGCATTTGGATCTTAGGTCGGCCTTCCATGGGATTGACACTTCTCCACCAAAAATGAAGAAATTACCATTGGAAGGCAGGAGAGAAGAAAAAGAAGCGACGTCAGATGCAGTGAAGTCTCGGTCAAGTGCGAAAGAATCCAAACAAGGAATATCAAGCACAATTTTGAAGGTCCTGAAGAAGATTTTTGAATGAAGACTGGTAACGTTGTTGACATCAAAATTCGTTTTAATGGTGTAGAGGAGGAAGTAGACGGGAGTAGAACAGTTATAATCTTCTGTTTGACTAGATAGATTTGTTTCCAAGATCACGGGGCCAGAAACTGATGATGGTCTTAACTCAATTCTTACATGGCAGAATATAACGGTCAGATCTAATTGCTCTTTTGCAGATATGGTCGAATGATCAGGTGGTATTCAAATTGCTTGACATTGCATCGCTTTTGATGGTCTTAATTCGGTAGAATTGTAGTTCCTGCTCGTGATGTAGAGTGAAAGCCTTTCTTGATTTCAGTCGTCAGTTTAACTATAATGCATGGCAGCTTCTCATTTTAAGCCAATTTTAATTTCTACCAATCAGCTTTGAATAGGTTTCAAATTTGTCCGTATTGCAAGAACTTCAACAAGTCAGAAAATATTCCAAGTAGTGCTGTCTCCGGGAAGATTCCTCCTTTGATTGATGTTCCTCGGCAGTCCGCCAGTTCTAGCTCTTCGGCTCTGTTTGGTTACCCTTACTCTCCATGGCAAAGAGCCTTCATCCGTAGCATATACTAGTATTTTTTTACAGTAGACCAATTGATGAAGAGATGGCTTTTTGGAGATGAGTTTTATCCAAAGCCGAATACTACAGTAGCCTTGTTTGGACAGCCGTTTTCCATGAAAAAATTACGTCGTTTTCCGTGAATATATTTTTCTATTACCTTTTTTCCTCACATACATCAAATCGCTACAGTAATTTTTCTAAAAAAATCCTAGAAAATGCAATCCAAACACAACCCAAGATCAGAATAGTCTTAGTCAAAAAGCCGGTTTAGTCCATTTAAAATGAACACTCCTCGGTGTCTCCTGTGTTTCTTCACTTGAATCGCATTGTTGACCTAAGTGCACTATCATTGCCAATTGGACTCCTCAGTATCTTTTGATTGAATTCTTGAACTGCTTTGTGAGTTTATGCATACGAGATTGAAATCGAATTTGGTCTTCATGCGTGGTTTGAATATTTAGTGAATGTGGAATGTACACTTACAAGTGAAAGCATTAATAAACGTAATGGAGCTAAATATCAAAATTTTATTCTAGTGGGGGTGTGGCGTAGTACTTGAAACTGTAATGACAGCCTCTGTTTTTTTTTTTTTGAGAAGGGAGAGAAATTGGTCCTCTAACTTAAATTTTGTCTCACCATTTTTTCTCCTTGTCATTTTACATAGTTTTTACCATGTTTGAAAAATGCATATGTGTATCGATGCACTCAGATAAATTTATATAAATAATTTACTATCCAAACCGACTCAATATGATGACTATGAACATATCAACCTCAAAAAAGAAACACAAAATAAATTTTTGAACAACGACTTTTATAAATGTGGATTTCAATAAATGTTTGTGTATATCAAAATATGCATATCTAAATTAATATACATAACCTGAGAATGTGTATATATGATGTATGCCCATATAATAAGTTCTTGAATATGCAAATAAGGATAATTTCATTATTTTTATTGACAATATTCGTTCTTTACAATTTATGAGCCGTAACTCATTTCTCATTGACAAATTTCATAAAGTCTGATGCTCTGTTTGGATGGGAGTGTTTTTCAAAAATTAATTTTTCAAATACAATATAAATTTTTAAAAAGTACTCTAAAAGATAATCTAAAAATTAGTTTAAAATTTTAAAAAATATTTCAAAATATATTTTAGAAACTCTTCTACTCTTAAATATCCCAAAATATTTTTTGAAAATACTTCAAAATATAATCTAAAAACTCTGCTACACTAAAGCCTGGAATCTTTCATCCGACATGCGATAACAAAACAATAATTGGGGATATTTCGGTTAGACCAGATCGGAGTTAACCACGGCTTAGACCCGGTTTAAAATTTTATTAAAATAAATAAATAAACGGGTTTTTGACTTCCTTGGCTTGGACAGAAGCCCCATTGAAACGCAGAGCGAAGAGAGACACCAGTCTAGTATAAACA